TGCACCAAAACCGCCAACGGCAAACCCATTCTGCTCACAGGCGACGGAATCCGTGCACTCGCCACGGAATCCGGACAACACTGCACCGTAATCGTCAATTGCGATTCCCTCCACCTCGCGACTTTGAAATGTAATATTATTGGAAATAAAGAGTGTAGATGTACCGCGTACGGAAAATGTTAATTTGTAGACTTGTCAAAGCAAGAAAAGGTATGCACACTCATCAAAATATGTAAATAATGTCCTAAACAACAAAAGCATCCAGAGACACAGTGAGTTTAGGTTGGCCAGCGAGACCGCAGCCCCTTAGCAGTTCCTGTGAGCCCATCCCAGTTTCTGTGGAGCCTCTGTCAGTTCCTGTTAGCCCATGCCAGTTTCTGTGACTACCAAATTCAGAATCATTTACTGGCGGTTTCTGTGCCGAACCGTTAGGGATTCTGCCATTTCAATTTACTGTGTAGCGGAGTCTCCGCCGAGAGGTTTGGAGTCATCCATATCCTAGGGCCCGCCTCGCAGAGCTCACTCGTGGCGTAGTTGGTAGCGTGGCGGTACAGTAATCCGGAATTCTGGGTTCGAGACCGAGTTTCAACCATGCTTCCCAGCAACTTCGGCAGTGAAGTCGACTACTACCATACAATGAGTAACTCATAACGTACATAAGGCGTTCAATTTATCCCTACTCTATATGAAATTCTTCTTAAATGCAAAATCAACTTTTAAGAAACAGACTATTACTTTTCAAATTTGGTTCTTAATTTTAAGAAGAAAAAGTTTCTTACTTTTACTAGCAAAAAGTCTTTGTAAACTGCTTCATAAAAAAAGTTTCCTAAAATTAAGATGGATTGATAATGAGTAATTAATTACTCACTCCTTTGACTTATTCCAATCCCCACACTGTAAAAATTAATATGCGGAATAAACGACGGGTCCTTCGGCAAAAAAATTGCCAACGGTTCCTTTGTTAATTTAGGAAGCTCTTCGTATATTTACAAAAACCTTCGTTAATTTTTTGAAAGATCTCTGCCGATTTTCCAATCACAACGGAAATTTACGAAGCACCTTCGTAAATCTACAAAGATCCTTCGTAAATTTACAGGGAACCTTCGTTTATAAACAAAGAACCTTCGTTAATATACAGCACTGTTAAAAAAAAAGTCTGAAAATTCAGACCAAATTGGTAAGAAGTTATTAACAGACTTGAGGTCTGAAAATTCAGACCATTTAAAGGGTCTGAAAATTCAGAACTCGAGAGTCTTACATTTAAGAGTTTGGTGGTCTGAAAATTCAGTCCTGTACGAAGATTGTGAACTTTAAGGTTCGTGACATATTCAATATGACATACAGGGTGAGTTTTCTCAATGTGTCAATAATTTGTAGGTAGTTTGGGCACCCCAAGGCGATCATTTTCTACCAATGAACTAGTGGGCGCAAACGTCCAAGTACGGAGATAATTGGTGTTTTGTAATTGGCCTTCGCGCCTGCGAGGTAGGCACCCGCACCCACTGATGGTCGCAGGACCTCGCGTGGGAGTGTCGCGGGACTAGGAGGGGTGCTTCGAGTCTCGTAGGGGTGCGGCGGACCTTGCAAATGTCTTTTTGGAGGGGTTGCCGCGGGTCTGAAGAGGCTGTCATGGTGGCCCCCGTTACAGTGGATCTCACGGCTGTCTTTGCGAGGGTGGCGGGATTCCTCAGATACTTCCGCGAGGTCAGTGGCACTCCCGCGAGTACTGCTAGTCCCGCGACACCCCCTCGACAGGTCCTGCCGCCCTCAGTGGCACCGGGTGCCTACCTCGTAGGCGCAAAATCCAATTACCAAACACCAATTATCTCCGTACCTAGACGTTTGCGCCCACTAGTTCATTGGCGAAAAATGGTCCCCTAGGGATGCCCAAACTGCCTGCAAATTATTGACACATTGAGGAAACACCCTGTAGAAAGAATCTCAGGTGTGTGTGAACCTCCAGAGCGGACAACATTGAGTAAAAATTGTGATGGGGGAGAAGGTCCTTTGTCCTTTTCCCTGACTCTCGAGAGGCCGGCCTGTGGCACCCAAGGAAATGGCGACACGGAGCCACCCGCGAGAGGTAAATTAGAATGTGGATTGTTCAACTTCCACCCATATTAGAGAGATAAATCTTGCGGCAGAGAATGGTTCTCATATGGCCGACTAAGTCCTATCAATTTGGAACTTTTGAACCACTATATTTTCACATTAGAAGCCTTTTAAACAGAAGTAGGTATGTTCCACAACATGCGCGCCATCTAGCGGACAAACGAAATCTTGGGTTGGTCTGAATTTTCAGACTTAACCATCTAAATTTTCAGACTGCGCTGGTCTGAATTCTGGTTCTGAGACGATCGGGTCGCAATTTTCATACCGGAAGGCAAAATTTTCAGACAAGCAGTCTGAAACAAGTCTGAAAAATAGATTCAGACCACCAAGTCTGACAAAAGTGGTCTGAATTTTCAGATTTTTTTAACAGTGAGAGATTCTTTGTAATTATACGTCTGGAATTAACGACGAATCCTTCGGCAAAAAAAATTGCCAACACTTCCTTGGTTTATTTACGAAGGCCCGCCGTAGATTTACGAAGACCCGTCGTAGATTAACGAAGCCCGTCGTAAATTTACGAAGCCCTTCGTAAATTTACAACAGATTTTGTAAATTTACGATTTTTCTTTGTAAATTTACAAAGAACTTTCGTAAATTAACGACGAACCTACGTTGATTTACAAAAGTCCCTGTAGGAAAGAAACATTTACAGTGCACTTTTGGACATTCCCAAAAATCCTTCGGAAAATATTCCGTCGTAAATTCACAACATACTTTTTACAGTGCAGCTGACCTGCTGCACTTGGGCATTGTTGGAAGTTAATCCATGGACAGAACTCGGTAAATAAATTCGAGGTAAGAAAGTTCTGTCCATGGATTAACTTCCAACAATGCCCAAGTGCAGCAGGTCAGCTGCACTGTAAAAAGTATGTTGTGAATTTACGACGGAATATTTTCCGAAGGATTTTTGGGAATGTCCAAAAGTGCACTGTAAATGTTTCTTTCCTACAGGGTAAAAAAATCCATCTTAATTTTAAGAAACTTTTTTATGAAGCAGTTTACAAAGACTTTTTGGTAGTAAAAGTAATAAACTTTTTCTTCTTAAAACTAAGAACCAAATTTGAAAAGTAATAATCTGTTTCTTAAAAGTTGTTTTTGCATTTAAGAAGAATTTAATATAGAGAAGTGAAAAATTGAGCGCGCTATGTCCGTTACGAGTTACTGATTGTATGGTAGTAGTCGATTTCACTGCCGAAGTTGTGGTTGGAACTCAGTCTCGAACCCGGAATTCCGGATTACTGCACCGCAACGCTACCAACTGCGCCACGAGTGAGCTCTCCGAGGTGGGCTCGAGGAATGTGGATGACTCCAAGCCTCTCGGCGGAGACTCCGCTACGCAGCGGAAGCGCTCATCCAAGGGTCTCCAAACACGACTTCACATGACGAAGGTCATCCAAATTTGTTCTTTACGTACACTGGTAGTGAAGCGTCCAATGATCACAATTTTAACTGGCAGGATGAGAATCAAATATGAAAAGTCATAGTAATTTGGAATTTTAAGAAACAAATTATTGCATTTCGCAAACAATCTTAATTTTACGAACCTGTTTTTCAATTTTAATAAAGTTTCTGAAAGTTACCAATATTTTCATTACTTGTCAGAAATGTTTTCGTAAATGTAAGAAATTTTCTTAAACTTCACAAACATTTATGAGTTTTCATATTCTTTCAAAAGGTTATTAAAATTAAGATGTCATTTTGTATTAAATTTAAGAATTTTTTTAACAGTGAAGTACAGCAGCACAACTTTAAACCGCCGACTCAGATATAACAAAGGAAACATTTTAGTTCACAGACAAGTGGCAGGACTGCCATGTTGAAATTCAGTCCTCGCTTGTGTCGTCTACTACGGTAGCATTTGTTTTGCGTTGGTGGGTGATTCCGTGCGTAGGGGGTCATTTCAGGTCACCGGGGCCTTGCGCCTGAACTGAGGTTGATTTGGTAGCTTGGGCAATTCAAATTTATTTTACTAAACGAAGACCATGTCCTCATGTGGATTAGTCGATCTAACTTTTGTTTATCAAGGTGTCGTAAGCTGCTAAAGTGTCGTTTTGTAAGTTCCGTCATGGTCACCAACACCTATAAGACAACATTGCCATGCTGTAGTATATGACTCAGCCACATCAAAAGAAAACTGGCTATTTCACTCTCTTCCCTGACTTATTCCTCACAAAATTACTGAAGGTGACCTTTGTGTCATCACTTGTTGAACCCGAAACAGCCCTTGGGAAAATGTCCACCGTGTGACCATGTGACCTATGCTGCTTACACAAATGACGGTCTACTGGGGTTTCTTTTCGTTTTGGAACCTCGCGACCACTTGGGATCGAAAGAACATAAAAAACGCTGCCAGAAGCCCGTGCCCGCGGGACCTGGGTCGGTCAAACGACGCTTCCAGGCCGTCAGAATTGTTCAAAACGGTAAGGGTGTATAAATAGTTGTCAATTCCGTTTCGGGCCGTAGCTCCTCCATCTGAGGGAGAAAGTTCCAACAATCTTCGCTAAAAAACGCTATTTTGGATGCTCAAAATGACACCGTCAACAGTTTTTACCTATCTTGTAACCCAGCGGGTCAGGAGACTAAAAACTTTGCTTTGTAAATTCCGTAATCTGTAAATTCCGTCATAATTTCTGTAAATTCCGCCGTATTTCATAGGGAGTGAAATTAAAAGTCAACTTGTAGCGCTGCCACGCTCGGAGGGGTACTGTGGGGTACTATGTATGCCATCTACACCAAATATAGCCCCTAAAGTTGAAGTTTAAAAAACAACATTTTTGATACATCCAAAATGACCCTCTACGCACGGAATCACCCTGGTGCCAACCTACACTGCCTTCCAGAAGTAATTTTACAAGTAAAGGAGGAAAATGTATTACCAAATACATTACCAAAATGCATGGCTGCACGCAGTAGGCGCATGCGCTACCGTGGTCCGAGGCTCACTTCCTTCTGGCTTCGAAAGTGCACAACGTCCTTTAAAACACTGCGAAGGGGAATGTATCATAATCTCGTTAATCGTCTTCGTACAGAGGCAATATGTGTAATCGGATAACAGTAAGCTCGGGCAATATTCTTCGGCTGCCGCTCGTGATGGCTTGGCTCCCCCTTGTCTACGTCTCTTTCCCGGACGAGTCAAACTCTGCCATAGAAACGACGATTTTCTAAGTCGAAGATTTTATCAAATTTTATTATTCCCCCACACTTAGCAGTAAAGGTGGAAGTCGAAGAGGCGAAGTATCAAACGAAGACGTAGACGAATTGATGCGCACTTTTACGTCTTCAAGCGCAGTATACTGAAAATCAACTAGTGAAACATCTCACTCTCTGAGGGGTGAGACATAACTGTCTCACCGAAAAAGGGTGATACTAAATTGTATCACCGGAAAACAGGTCGTACACAAATGTATCACCGAAATGGGGTGCTACTTTCCGTACATGCGTGTACGGCCATGTTTTCAGTGATGCATTCGTGTACGACCTTTTCTTCGGTGATACATTTTGTATCGCCGAACTTTGGTACACTGTAAAAAATATGTTGTGAATTTACGACGGAATATTTTCCGAAGGGTTTTTGGGAATGTCCAAAAGTGCACTGTAAATGTTTCTTTCCTACAGGAACTTTTGTAAATCAACGTAGGTTCGTCGTTAATTTACGAAGGTTCTTTGTAAATTTACGAAGAAAAATCGTAAATTTACAAAATCCGTTGTAAATTTACGAAGGGCTTCGTAAATTTACGACGGGCTTCGTTAATCTACGACGGGTCTTCGTGAATCTACGGCGGACCTTCGTAAATAAACGAAGGAAGTGTTGGCAATTTTTTTGCCGCAGGATCCGTCGTTAATTCCAGACGTATAATTACGAAGAATCTCTGTATATAAACGAAGTTTCTTTGTTTATAAACGAAGGTTCCCTGTATATTTACGAAGGATCTTTGTAGATTTACGAAGGTGCTTCGTAAATTTCCATCGTGATTGGAAAATCAGCAGAGATCTTTCAAAAAATTAACGAAGGTTTTTGTAAATATACGAAGAGCTTCGTAAATTAACGAAGGAACCGTTGGCAATTTTTTTGCCGAAGGACCCGTCGTTTATTCCGGATATTAATTTTTACAGTGTAGGATGTCTCACCCTTTGAATAACAGTGAGTGCGTTTCTTACTTGCATGCGTGAGGCAAACGATGTTCAAACTTGTAAGCGTTAACTCGAATGTGTTTGACTGTCTTACCCTTGGATTTGCCGTGAGGGTCCAACGCCCCCCGCGACATCCTCCAACCTGTAATCGCTGCAGGCCCATCAGCCAGGGCGCCGTCACGTCGCACTGTAAAAAATTATTGTGAATTTACGAATTTTTTTTTTACAAATTCTCTGTGAAGTAACAATAACATTTCGTTATTTTATGAAATTTATTTGTAGAGGCCGTTTTATAAATTATTCATCACGGAAATCTTCTTAATTTTATGAAATTTGTTCGTTAACACCGCCTTATGAAATGGTATGAACAAAATACATCTCAAACGTGACTAAAATACTACAACAATGTCACAAAAACATGAAAAGTTTCCTAAAATTACAACAAATGCTTGGGTAATTCCGTTGCACAAATCGCTTGTAAGATTACGAGATATGGTGATGCCTTCCTCATTTTACAAGATGTTTCATAAAACAAAACAAAAACGCTGAAATAAGTTGATCTCCATTTAATCAGCGTGACAAGGTAGAACATAAGCGGTCCACGTAATTTGGAGCGTGTGAAAAGTTCGTAATTTTACAAATTACTGCGTGAAGAATAATTCATAAATTGTAAAGAAACAAAATGACGTTGTAAATTTACAGATAATTTGTGCAACGAAATTACCCATAAATTGTTTGTAAATTTACGAACTAATTTTTTACAGTGCGGACGACCGCATCGACCCCTGCAGGCCGTGCAGGCCGTCTCCACGAAGGCGTGGCGAATCGAAGCGGTGCCCATTCGCCTCAGCCCGCGGCTCGAAGCGCCGCCAGACGGCCGGGCCAGGGCGGCCGGCTTGAAGGGACAGGTCAGCTGACGCTTGCATCGGTAAAAGGCTGCACCAACATGGTGCAGATCTTCTCCACAATACAAACAAAATTCGTCAAAATACGGTAGAGTGAATTCTAAAAGGGATATTAAAATATAAGCGCCGGCATTATGCACGCTGGCAGAACTTTCACCATAATACACTGTAAAAAATATGTTGTGAATTTACGACGGAATATTTTCCGAAGGGTTTTTGGGAATGTCCAAAAGTGCACTGCAAATGTTTCTTTCCTACGGGAACTTTTGTAAGTCAACGTAGGTTCGTCGTTAATTTACGAAGGTTCTTTGTAAATTTACGAAGAAAAATCGTAAATTTACAAAATCTGTTCTAAATTTACGACGGGCTTCGTTTATCTACGACGGGTCTTCGTAAATCTACGGCGGACCTTCGTAAATAAACGAAGGAAGTGTTGGCATTTCTTTTGCCGAAGGATCCGTCGTTAATTCCAGACGTATAATTACGAAGAATCTCTGTATATTGACGAAGGTTGTTTGTTTATAAACGAAGGTTCCCTGTAAATTTACGAAGGATCTTTGTAGATTTACGAAGGTGCTTCGTAAATTTGGGGTATCCCGAACTGTCCACCAATCCAACTTCCCCCCAAGACAAACTACCCACCAATAAATCTGTCCCCCATTTAAAACGGATTATTTGACAATTTATTTAATTTTTGGTTCCTCCATTTAAAACTAAATAATAAGAATGAAAAATGCAAAATAAATGAGCTGAGCTCACTACTTTCCGTGCAAGTTGCCCTAAATAATTTTTAAAAATTATCAAATAATTATAAATAATTTCTAAAAATTATTTTAAAAACGTGGGGGCATAAATATGCTGCCGTGATGTCACTCTGGACACTATGAAAAATTTCGAAGGCTTAAAACCAGGTGACAGGCTGCCTTTAAGCTAAAGAGCCATCTAGGCTCCGTACTCTTGGCCGAAAGGTTTCGTCACCATGAAAAAGTGCGCAATCAGTCCCAGGCAGACCGCGCAGTCACGGTAGCGGTGAGCTTGGCGTACTCCAGGTTGCGAGGCCCTTGAGTCGTTCAAGCACGCCGAATGGGCCGCGCCGCAGGTAGCGTACGGTTGAGGCGTGCTTGGCGTCCTCCAGGTTGTGAGGGCTTTGAGTGGCACTAGCACGCCGCCTAGGCCACGCCGCCTAGGCCGCGCCGCAACCAGCGTGTCCTCCAAGCGCCCCCGTCATTCGTGCGTCACGCAGCCTCGCCACCAGGGCGACGGCGTACTTGGCCGCCGGCATGCAGAGCCCTTCAGTCGCGCATGACGCCGCCTAGGCCACGTGTCGTTGAGGCGTGCTTGGCGTCCTCCAGGTTGTAGGGCCTTTGAGTCACGCAAGCACGCCGCCTAGGCCGCGCCGCAGCCAGCGTGTCCTCCAGGCGCGCCGCCACCACCGTTGAGGCGTGCTTGGCGTCCTCCAAGTTGTTGGGCCCTTGAATCACGCTAGCACGCCGCCTAGGCCGCGCCGCAGCCAGCGTGTCCTCCAGGCGCGACGCCACCACCGTTGAGGCGTGCTCTTGTCCTCTGCCAGGATGTTCAGCCTTTGAGTCACACAAGCACGCTGCCTAGGGCGGCTCCGGGCCGGGCACTCAAAGCGGTGGAAGGGTCGATTGTCGTCGCAGGGCCGTCACAAGGTCCCTGAAGAGCAGAAGACAGCGTGTCGGACTTCCCCCTGCCGGCTCCATCTCCGCTAGGGAGATCGGTCATGGTGCGACGCCGAAGGGGAAACGACTGAGAAACTTTGTGTACATCGAATAGGGATAACCCCGGATAACCCGCGGCTTACCTCCGGACTACATCGAAAAATTTCCAGGATAACCATTGGATTACGGCAGATTACCCCGGAGTACCTCAGAATTTCCCCGGATTACTTCAAAATTTCTGGTTATCTAGAGAACGGATTACGAATATGCTGTACACCGGATAACTGAAGTCGTTTCCGCCTCGTGCGACGCAGGGGCGCGACCGAGGGCGTGACCACAATTCTCGGTACGATTTTCTGAGTTCAGCACCATCGCCACCCCGCCACCCTCGCGGCCTTGGCACCTGGCGGCCTCGGCCGAGATGCGCGCGACGATGCGCAGCAGCAGCCGGGGCCGGCTGCACCCGCCAGTGCCTATCGGCACTCGGTCTCTCTCGCACTCGCGGGACATTCCATGTGGGTGTGAGGGAGATGGAGTGACGACGCACGGGGGGTGCAGGGGTTCCCGACGAGTTGCAAGTTCTTTTGAAAACTGCTGAGTCTTCTTCCTTTTCCCCTGCTCACTGTTGAAGACCCAATTAAATATTCTATCTTTTCTGTTTCAAAATTCATGTTTCATTTTCATTTCTTCTAGTTGTGACACTCTTTCTGTACTACCCTAAAGGCAGGAACGTGGACTCACGTACGTACATCCCATGGATGCATTTTTAATATTACAAAACATTCCAGTTTCAGTAGAAACTAGGCAATAAGAAAACACGCCTCAACAGTGGTGGCGTCGCGCATGGAGGACAGGCTAGGCTGGCTGCGGCGCGTCCGCGGCGGCGTGCTGCGCGACTGAAGGTTATGCATGCCGGCGGAGGCCAAGAACGCCGTCACCCAGGTGGTGAGGCTATATGCCGCACGAATGACAGGGACGCCTGGAGCACACGCTGGCTGCGGCGCGGCCTAGGCGACGTGCTAGCGTGATTCAGGGGCCCAACAACCTGGAGGACGCCAAGCACGCCTCAACGGTGGTGGCGGCGCGCCTGGAGGACACGCTGGCGGCGGCGCGGCCTAGGCGGCGTGCTTGCGTGACTCAAAGGCCCTGCAACCTGGAGGACGCCAAGCACGCCTCAACGACACGCGGCCTTGGCGGCGTCATGCGCGACTGAAGGGCTCTGCATGCCGGCGGAGGCCAAGCACGCCGTCGCCCTGGTGGCGAGGCTGAATGCCGCACGAATGACAGGGGCAC